CATAAAGAAGGTGTTTGGGGTGCCTCACAAACTCTCCAATGATCATCGTTTCCAACGTATGAACGTTGCTTCGTCTCTTCTGACGCTTAATGCACATGAACCATTTTTGGACAGAATTGTCACCGGTGATAAAAAAAATTAGATTTTCTATGGAAATATTAAGTGACAAAAAAATGGCTCAGTCCTAGACAAAAATCACTTCCTACTCCAAATGCTGGACTCCATCCGCAGAAAGTGATGCTTTGCATTTGGTGGGACATTATTTCAAACTCCTCAATCCACAGTGAAACAATTTTTACAAAAACAATTTATACAAAAACAATCCATATTTCAAAACAATTTATACAAAAACAATCCATATTTCAAAACAGTTTATACAAAAACAATCCATACAATGAAACAGTCTATAATTCAAGGACACCTACATAGAAACAGTTCATACTAAAAGGCCAACAACATAGAAACAGTTAAGGATGTACTTGGAGCCCAAGTCAAAATAAATGGGAAAATTATTTTGTTGAAATCATTTTTACAGTTTGTTCTATTGTACTTAGAAGAGTATTTCATCATTAAGATGCATTTTACAAATCCTGGAATATCCATTGCTGCATAGTTTAATAAAATGGTATCAAGTTTTTCAGCAGGAGTTTAATATCCTTGGAAAAGCAACATAACAATATCCCTACTTCCTACATTAGTAAGCAGTAAGCCATGATAAAGTTGTCTTAAGATGAGTATTGTGAAAATATTAAACAGAATGCAATTAAAAACTTTGCTGACTTAATACTTATTGTCTGCATATTAATAGACACACTAGCACAAACGTTTTTAAGGTAAAATATGTAAAAAGGTTCTCTAAAATATTGATACTTTAAAAAATGTATAGTGTAATTGGAGGATAGTTAAATATTTGAGCCAGCTAGAATACTTGTTTTTGACTAATGTCATATAAAAAGAGACAAACAAGATAGATGAACAATTAGGATGATAATCACTTACTTTACATCTCAGGAAAGGAGGATTTGAGTTTAGTGGTAATTTTGATTGTTGATAAAAAATTATATTTTAAGGAATTTTGATGGATTTCAAGAAATATTCATTTATCAAAACCGATGCAAACACCACTCACCTACTTATCAGTTGATGTTATAAAGTTAAACTAAAACATCACAGCTTTTTAAACTCTAGAAGAAATTATGGTTGGAACTTTGCCAGGTTAGTTCCAATTTATTTTTTGGCATATTTGCATGTATATTTCATGAAATTAAGATTTGCACACAGTCAGTGTAATTCTAGCTATTTTAATTAATTTATTGATGTTGGACACATATTTGTATATTATTGTAAGTGGAAATTTTATATTCTGTACATATTATAGATTGCATAGCTCATGAGAAAAAGGAAAGTGATGTTAGTAAAATAAAATAGACAATCAAGTGTTTGCTAGTGATGTGTGATGAACAATGTATCCCAAGTCATGTGATTATAATAAACGGATACCATCATTATATAAATTGGCAGTAGTACAAAGGCAGTGTCTCATGAATACTCTGTCATATAGTATGAAGTCATAGTTACGTGATGTTACACTGAGAAAACTGTTTAGATTATACATGGCTAGAAAACTGACGAATGACCAGCTTCAGCAGCTTTATATATGTAGTCTTCTTTTTGGACATGAAAGGCAGGTCTATCGCCTTACTAGTATTTATCTGGTTTATACATTAATATCTATCTGTTTTGTTCCTTTTTTGTGTGTGTATATGTGTAATACAGTTTGTTTAACACTTTACAGCTTGTCATTTGCATCTACATTATCTATCATATTTATCTGTGACTTTGTATTTTATGTTATTTTAAAGTATAATTTGAATGTACATACCTGTATTGTTTAATTAACAGCATTTTAATCATTGGTTTAAAGGTAGTGTATCTTTTACGGTTTTGTTGGTTTCTAATTGAAAGATATTTTGCATATCTGTATTTTCTCACTCATTGGTTTGATGGTTGTACAGTAATTTCAAGTGGGAATGTTTTGAGATTTTGTTAAATCACAGAAGCTCTTTTTTTGTGGTGAAATTTTCCATTTAATGATTTTTATATAGAGACAGTTTTCCCATATTAAAAATCAGTTTAAAGTTTTGTAAGATCTAAATAAAAGCTGCATAAAGTGTTTTTTACAGGTCATGGTTATTCAATCACAACCCACTATACCACCTGTTTTCTCCTGCTCATAATAAAACAGGTATTATGTAATTTGTAGTGAGGATTCTGGAATTTGTATGAAGTTATTTACTGTATGAAAATGTACTAGACTAATTCATCATGTTCAAACTTAAGCTCTGTTTTAACATTAATGTTCTTACAGGCTTGCCTAATTGGGATTCTTATGAGATCTTTAAGTTTAATATGTGTTTTCTTTGAAAAATCTTATTGTTGTAATGTTTTGAGAAAGAGATATCTTTGTACTATGTACATTGTAACACTTTTCTGGTACTGAAGTAGTTAACATGTTCATCTAAAATTTGATTATCTGGGAATCATCACAACATATTTCTTTTATTCTATGTTATTATTATTTTTTATTTACTTTTTTATGAACAGATGACAGTAGCTGTTACAATTAACATAAGTCATTGACTTTCTAATTATTCAAGGTGAAAACCTTTATCACTTGAACTCATTTTCATGTGCTCTTAACATAACCTAGCTAGCTTTGAGTTGATGTGCCATTTTGCTGAAGGTACTGTAGCATAAAACCCCAGACTATACCTTTGGGATAACATAAAAAAAGTTTTACTCATAGTTACATGCATTCAAGGGGTGAGGAATTTTTGAAAAAATATTTTTATCAAAGGGATAAAATGCTAAAAAAATCTACTTACCCCTTCCCCATACTACAAAGCACACAAAAACGTAGAACATAACTTTTAGGACTATGCTTTTTCTATGCAGCTTTCACAAAAATGTTATGAAATCAAAAGTAGACTACTTAGTGAATAAACTCATTACAAAATCTAACTATTATTTATTCCAAATTTTACAAAATCTGTTTCATTTTTGGATAAAACTCATTATATATCCATAGGCTTGTTTTTCAATCAAAATGCTGCATATCCATCAATGCAGTACCATTGGCAGCTCAATTGTGTCAAGAATGGCATGTACCACATTTTGTATTTAAGCTATTCAGATATATATTTATTTATATATATATATATATATATATACACACACACACACATACATTTTTATGTATTCTATAATTTCTAATATTTAGTCGTCAGGATTTTACAGCACGGCGTATAGAATCCCCCACATGTGAACTGATTAAGAAATCATGATTTACATTAATGCTGCTACAAACTAAAATAGCATTTAAACTAAATTTAACAATTGGACTGCTGGACGTATTGTCACCAAACATAGCATGTATCCTTAAGTCTCTCCCTGCCAGGGATTGGTAGTCATATTTAACCCTCCTGTACCTTCCCTGTGCACTGAACAGATATGTCAGGTAATATATAGTTATACTTAAAAGTTTTAAAGCTTTCTGTGATTTTATTATGTTATGTATTCTTTTCATAAGCTGGCAGTAAAACTTTTCTAGGTTCCTACCTACTGTGGACAAAAGCAGTGTAATAAGATTGCTGCAATATATTAAATATGTTTGTTAGCCTATGTGGGACTGGGGTTTTGTAAATTAAAGATACATATATATATATATATTTGTGTATATAGTTTTGGTTTGAGATTTACATTTGTAATATTCATGTGTCTGTGCTAAACTTCTACTGTTCAGAATTATCAGGAACTTATGTAGCTCTCTAAAAATCTACTTAGACCATTTTCCAGAAACCACTAATGGTGGGAAAAATAAAGTAAAAACTACTTGTCAAATAGGCATTGGGCAGTGTGAATTCCACCCCTTTGGTATTGCGTATTACAAATATAATAATAAGCATTTATATAATCTAGATAATCAAGGATGAAAACTGTTCTTCTGTGAGTTATTTGAGGGGTTTTCAGAGACTTGTATTTAGCTTTTTTGTTTCAGCTAAAGTTAGAGCTTGATTTTTTCTCTCTTTAAAGACCGTGTTATTTTATTGGCATTTTTCTTTAATGAAAAACTGAGATAACCCAACGTAGTTGTAAGTAATATTGATATTCTCCTTGTTCAATAGAATAATATTTGTGTAATTTTTTCATACATTTTTATGTAGAGAAAAAGTTTTATCATATGATATAAGGTATTGGAATTTTTTATGAATTTAAAATAATATTTTTAAGATTCTGAATTAACAGCTTATATAATTGAATGGTAGTTTGATGATATAAAGGAACTTTTATTTGAACAGGGAGCAACCCATATTCACAACCAAAGCCCATGTCTTCCACATTGACCCTAAAACCAAGCGGTCTTGGATCCCTGCTAGCAGCCAGGCCGTCAGTGTTAGCTTTTTTTACGACTCTACAAGAAACCTATATCGAATCATCAGTGTAGAGGGAACCAAGGTAATATAATATTCAGATTTATATAATTATGATCATTATAATATTCTTCAGTGTAGTTAGTGAAACCATGTTGTGAGGTCATGTACTTTGTTTATTGAGCTTCAACATAAGTTAGTCTGACTGGGCTTGCTAACTTCTTTATTTTTGTTAAATTTACACCTTTTATGACTAAAAAATGCAGATGAGTACAGTGATATTAAATTGTTTATGTAAATATTTAATCACTTTGAACTTTACTGTTAATTTTAAATGTAGATGTTAAAGAGTTTAATGTGCTTTCAATCTTTTTTACTTGCACAGCATAACATTACTACATATACCTGTTGATAAGTAAATATCAGAGGTAGAATATAAGTATTAATTCATTCTGGTTATTAGGTATATTTCTTCTTTTGTTAAACCTTTTGCAATGATTCCCAAAACACATGGTATAATTTCAAATGTTATCCATTATTAATTTTCATTAATGAATATTTAGAGATAAAGGGGCAAGAGTAGAGAAAGTTGAAAATTAAATAATTATGTTTGATTTATTTCAACAACTCCATTATCGTCTCTTATATCAACTGACAGGGAGGTTACTTGCTCTTGAGACCTCTGCTTTCTTGTTCTGAAGCTCCTCCTTTGGGCTTATGGCAACAACATCTGGTTGTTGGCCTTCTGTATTCTGGGAGCTTTGAATTTAGTGGTAGATTAGCTGTCTTACATGGACCAAGTCCTTCAACAGAGTAGTCATTAGATTTGATGTTTCTATGGATTTACTCTCACTTTGGAAGTCCTTTGATGATGCACTTCCCCTCTTTAGCCATCTCAGTCATGATTATTCTGCCCTTCTTTCTATTAGTAATTCTAGTTCCTCTATCTCTTCCTTCTTGGAAGGCACTTTTTGTCAGCCTTGAACATCCACCTTTCACCACAATGGCCCATGCCTTCATCTTCACATGTGGCTTTTGTCTGATACCTTGCAAGATGGGTAAATTTTTCTTGCAGAGTAACTCATTTTTTTGCTTGCTTTTCCTGACCATCCACCAATTTCAATTTATCCCTCCCTTCCTCCAAGTCTTCTGATTTCTCCTCATTTCACTCTTTTTGTATGTAGCTTTATGAGGGTTGTTTATCTGTTTCTGTGATTGCTGGTTATAGAGTGGCTTTGAAGATTCTCTGTCTTTTCCTTGGCCATTCTCCTTTTCGTTCTATGGTTGTTACAGACCTCTTCTGAGCCTTCTTAACCAGTCATATTCCTCTTCTGGAAAATAATTCTGTTTAGTTCTCTTGCCTCTTACATGCCCTCTATTTGAACTTTTGGCCACCTGTTCTCTCTACTATATTTCCTTTTTCTTTTGGTTGAGTGGAAGAGCCCTTGTTTCACCTATAGTGGAGGTTGATAGGAATAGTTCTTCTTTAGGTTAGTGTAATCCCACTGGAATGAGACTGAATGGATGCATCCTTCAATCAGTAGTAGAGCAGGGGTGTTTACCTGGAAGTACCTGCTACACGAACCACCGGGCTATTCTAGAGAATTGTGATAGGCTAAATGGACTTTACATTCTCCTCAGAATGCAGATCTGGAATGATTAATCCCTGCACCTACAAATTTCTTGTATATTGTAGAGCTTTATTTATTCCTTAGCCACACCACACAGTTTGTGCCTTAGATGGATAAGGTCTCCCATTTGGTGATGCTCCCACAAATCCTCCCCCTCCACTAGTTGGTGACACATTCCATGAATTTTCCTTTTCTATTGCTATATTATCAAAAATGAAATCATGTTTTTAATTTCTTTAGCTACTCCAGTCCCTCACCATTTTTTCATGCAAGTTTCTAACTATCTGTTCTGTGGAGAGATGAATAGTGTTTCTGAAGTTAACATATTCCTTACCATAACCATCCACCCTTCCTCCCTACTTCCTGTGTATCCCTTTTGTCTTATCAAGAATGTGCTTTTGGTATACACAAAGTGCTCAAGGGAAGCACTGCACATGGAGGATGTATCAACCTCCTATTGGTGAAGGCTGTATTCTAATGCTGATTGCATCATTGATTGGTGCAGCACACTTTTTATTACATGTTGGTGTGAGGTTCAAAGGCTTGGCACATGTGCAAAACTTATGCAGAAGAGGTGGGCATCTGTCTGAAATACATTTTCAGGTAAGGAAAAGGTGAGTATTTATTCGCTAGAGTATTAGAATTTTACTATGTTATGTAGTAGTACTTAACGTTTATAAAATTGTTATTATAGAGCTAAAATGAAGTTCTCAATTTTTGCTTGATTTTTTTTTCAGTGAAATTTTGCTTATTATATATGTCACAAAGGACACCCATTTACATTCTACTTTACTACACTGTAGAAGATACAGTCTGCAATGTTATAACATGAGTATGGAAAGACAAATTTTTATGTTGTACATATCTGACTACCACTAATATTTTATTAAAAGGTATTTAAGATGCAAGAGTTTTGACTTTCAAGTCCACTATCTAAAATTTAATATTGGTAACCTGCCTGTCTTTCATGTTCCAGTTATCATTCGTATTACAACAAAAGGAATAGCTGCAATCTTATACCAATTTATTACTACAGGCATTAAAAGTAAACCTGTCACAGTCTTAACATCTTGAATATGTTATTTTTATTAAATGATACATTTTAACTTTCCATCTTATTTTACAAAAATTATTAGCATATATAGAGATACAATAATGTGGTACTTGTGTTGCAAGTAAACACTGAATCTCGTTGATTAGACAAATGTAATGATGATAATTTTTTCTTATTCCACCTTTTTTTGAGTGCAGCCCAAAATCTAAAAAATTACTGCAGCCAAGTTATTGAGCAGTGCATTGTTAGTAACTAAAATGGGAACTAAAAGGATTGTTGTGATGTAGGTTATTATTTGCCATCTGGCTTTTTTTGGATTGGTAACAATTTCAAAACTGTTTAATGAAACTTGATATTTCTACCAGTATTGTTCACCAATGTATGCAGAGAAAGTAGAAGTTTACATGCACAACTACCAGCAATGCCTTTCTATCAAAATCTGCACAAATTAGAGCTCTTTTTAACTCACAATTGAATAATACAAAATATTATGATTTCTTTTTGTTTTAGTTTGTGCTGCAAACTAAGAAATTGACATTGTTTATGGAATTTTAATACATAAATTTTCTAGGGAGGATTATAACTGCATATAATGTGTTTAGTTTGATTTTGTAGTTCAAAAGTTATGAATCCATACATGTATCTTAGGTACCTGAGGATCACTAAAGATTGTTCTTTAATATATAAAAAAATTTAATGACTTTTGAGTATCTTGTAAAATTTCTTTAAAATACCTATGTACCAAGTTGTTGTTTTTTGTTGTTGTTCATTTAGTCCTTGGTGTAGAGACCTTTGCTCATCATTAATTGATGTGAATTTTTTAAATTTTGTTTACTTCTGTTTTTTCTGTAGCTTCTTTTGAAGACTTTGTTATTCATGTCTCTGAAACTTGTAGTTTGTCAAAAGAGAGTCAATATCTAGCTTCATTTTTGTGTGCTGCCTTGAGTTGATTAAGAACTAATTAATCATTGCTCTATAACTGAATTCATCAAAACTTTTCCACCTGTGTGAAGAAATACAAAATTTATTGTATCATGAACATCTTTAGATGTAGTTTCAATTTTTCTTATACCTCTCATAATGTAATATTTAATAATTACTTCCCAGCTCAGCAGAAAAAGAAAAAAATACATTAAGATAATTTTTTACTTTTTCATTTCTGTTGCTAAACTTTGAAGTACAAGACAGGAAAACACAATTCATTAGTTACTTATCATTAAATGTTTTCATTATTGTACCTTACAAATCACTTTGATTAGTAAATCAGCTTAAAAAAATAGTTCATCAAATTTTTATGATGACAAGCCATAAGTACTTGAATGGCCCGGCATGGCCAGGTGGTTAGGGTGCTCGACTCACAATCTGTGGTTCACGGGTTCGAATCCCCGTCACACCAAACATGCTCACCCTTTCAGCCGTGGGAGCATTATAATGTGACGGTCAATCCCACTATTTGTTGGTAAAAGAGTTGCCCAAGAGTTGGCAGTGGGTGGTGATGACTAGCTGCCTTCCTTCTAGTCTTACACTGCTAAATTAGGGATGGCTAGTGCAGATAGCTCTCATGTAGCTTTGCACTAAATTCATAACAAACAAACAAGTACTTGAAAGTATATCTCTTCAAAACTTTTCTTATTCCCAGCATAAAAAAAACAATAAACACTTTACTGTAATTCAAGTGCAACACATTTTCTTTCAAAAGGGCAGTATACATAAACAGAATTTAGATTTTTTTATATCTTACACTAGTTCATGTATGTCTTCCAACATATTACTTAACACAAACTTTGGGATCATTTAACTTTTGTTGGTGTGTGACAATGTATATGAAATGTGTTTGCATAAACATTTTGTGAAAATGTTCATCATAAAACAAACAATGTTTGTTTAGCTTTTAATATGTTAACTATGATGAAATTACAAAATAAGGATTTCCTGAGTTACGGTTGTCCTTGACTTCAGTTGAAATAGTAGTTCTAGTAGAGCCCATACATGTGGTTTGTATTTTTGCTTTCTGTCGATCTAAGGACATCCTAATATTACCTCATTTAGTGTTATTTGGGACAATGACATGCATGTTGATACACTACTAGAATATTTAATTGAAAGTGGGAGTTAAAAGTTTATTTTACTGATATAAAGCACAGTCATAGCCATTCATAAAGAAGCAATATGAATATGTTAGGAATTTCAGTTCTCAAAATAAACTTACAAAATATTTAACTACTGTTTCAAGTGTTTCAAGCACTTGCATTGAATTCTGTTTATTACTAAAACTGATTAGAGACAAGTGTATAGTATACAGGACCCATAATAACTCAAATAATGTAAACATAGTTGAACTGTATAAATACATTATAATATTTTTATGGCAAAACCCATGTTTAAATTTGCAAATATTTTGATAATCAATGATTTTTAGTTATTCTGATGTGCTAAAGGCAAAGAGTAAATAATGAAATTTGTGTGTACTGTATGCATTTCCACGAAGGTTTCAAAAATAATATGAAGTAAGCTCACCTTTTAACAGACATATATTTCATATTATTTCAGCTCCAGTATATTGTTATTCTTAGATATCCATAGCATATTGTAATTGGTGTAGTTTTTTGGGGGGGGTTTGCTGTTTTGAAATATTTGTTTTGCTTGTTTTCACCCAAATAAAATGTTTTGGGGTTTTATCTTTAAAAACCACAGACAACAGAGCATTTTTCATGCTTGAATGTGTATATCATATCGCACTAAAAATAATGCAATTAAAAAAGTCAAGAAACACTCAAGTTCCTGTGGCTCCAAGCCATATTTGTTCAAGGTTGGCTAGCTTTAAGAAAAACTAGCAGAGGTGCCACATGGCAAACTGGGCGGGCAATCCTACATCAATGAAGGTAAACAAAAATGACGACAACAGATGATAAGGAAGATGGTATAATGTATCAATTACACCATATATGTTTGAACCAGAGCTTGCAGACGGTAACGTGTCTAATGTTGACACGTCGGCCTAAATGGACAAGGACTGTCGGTTGTCTGATCTTTCTTGGTATGAAATTGCTTCAATAGTTATGTGCTACAATGTCATTAAAGACTGTTTTACACTGCTTATGTCATGAAAGTGGGACAAAATTTACAGCTGTCAGTATGATCACATGGGCGATAATAGAGTAAATTTATAAGTAAATTCTTGTCAATATTTGTTTTTCTGAGTGATGGATCTATATCTAGATGTAGATCTAATATCAGTTGATGGACTCTTGATACCTTATTCTGCACATGCTCTGATTTGTATGCATATGACTAAGTATACATTAGGACTGGAAAACCAAACATAGCTTGGGTCATATTTCAATAATCAGTATTGTAGATCTAGCATTTTTTATGTTACATATTGATATCTCCAATGAAATTTCATAAAAAAGTGTTATAAGCATGAAAAATAAAAAACTAAAATAGACAATTGTTTGTCCATGCCCTTTTTTTGGTAATTAATAGCTGAAAGGGAAATTTCATAAACATTTTGTTTTAGCAGATCTACTAGTATGTTTATAAATCCTGAATGATTGCTGACAATTCTATATTGTACTTAAAACATTAACTAAAACTTGAGCTTACCCTGTATGCCTCTCGTTTTCGAACAGCTTATCGGAAACGACTGTCATCGCTGTTATCAGTCTGTGAACAATAGTGTGATGTGCCACTGGCATGAGCCTGGCTGCTGCTTGCTGTTCTTGATGGATCTCCCTCAAACTTCAGATACACATTGGGCACTGCATCTTTCTTTAGCAACAGTTGTTTGCAAGTCCCATATAAACTTGTAGTTTATTTTCAAATTCTGGTTCCAAAAAGTGTTCACAGCTTACATGGCAGCTTTCAGTCAGACTCCATTTGTCACAAGTTCTATCCAGGCCATGTGCCATTTTCTGTCTGACTTAGGTAGAAACTCTTGCAGAAATATACCCTCTTTTCCTTGGGAATATTTCCACATCCATAAACAACACAGCAAAAAAACATAATTGTTTACATCCTGAAACAACCTACTCATGAATAACTGTATCCATGATGTCTGTAAAATGAAATTTGTCCAGTAAAAATGAATTATATTTCACATAAACAAACTGATAGTTTTCAGTGCACAAAATGGTACACAGAGAGGAAGCCAAGCATGACTGGCCTTGTTTACCTTGAGTGACTTTGATTGTCTTTGATAATAACTGTACAGTACAGGATGTATCATGGTGTTACAGTGTTTGTTGATAGTACATAACGTGAGTTGATCGCACATCTGCTTTTATGTTTTCTTTTTTCATGAATTTATTCATGGCACTACATTTTGCATGTTGTTCGGCTCTTAACTACAAATTTTCAAATTGTGCTATAAAAGGAAATGCAGATATAAAGCCTGTAATTTAGAACTTAAAGATGTTTTGCAGTTTTATGAAAGTAACTATGCAACAGCTCTCATTGCAGAGTGTAGCAATTGCTCATGCTTTGTAGGCTGACTTTGTTAAGAAAGAAAAGTTATAATAAATATAACATATGCTGTGATAAATCCTTTTATTATATATATCACTCGTACACACTGTATAAGATCCTGGAGACAGTCTTTACATAATGCAATATCACATAAGGTACAGTTGTACATTATATGGCTTAACAATTATCTGTTCCATCTTCCATAGTGTTGTTTTGTGTTTATAGTAGTTGAAGTTCCAGAAGGTTTCATAATCCCCAAACTAATACAGAGTGTTTCACAAACATTCTGTAAAGTAGTCTTTGATACAGTGAGGTACCTTATGTACATATTTTGAATTATATAATCGTAATAATTGAATATCTAAAGTAATTGTTGAAACTTATACTAGAACTTTTCAAATGATTGTAGGGTAATAAATTTTTAGATGTGCTCTAGGTAATATATTTGCTTTGGGTCAGACCTCTTTGATTTTATTGGAATAAATAAATAGTGCAGTTTTGAAGATGAAGAGAGGAAACTTGTATTTTTTCTTCTTCTTCAACTTTTAGGCAGTGATAAATAGCACAATCACTCCAAATATGACCTTCACTAAAACATCACAAAAATTTGGTCAGTGGTCAGATATCAGGGCTAACACTGTCTATGGACTTGGGTTTGGATCAGAGCCAGAGTTAAATAAGGTAAGTATTTCAGCAATTTGAAGAAAAAAAGTGTAAAGAATAAAGGTTTTTATCAAAATACACTCTCGTTTTATTCATGTTTCATCAAGGAGTTAGTAGCATACTTTTGATTCATCATTTGGTCTTCCCTGTGTATATGAGGGGTTATAGTTGATGTTCATGTTATCTTGAATTAGTTTTTTTTTCAATTCTGTATTTCTACAGGTGTAACAGGTGAGAATGCTGAAATATGTTATGAAATAGAGGACAATCAGCTAGGATGCAAGCTAAAAATTTTCAAAACCGAAGGAAAAACAAACTATATTTTTAGGGAATAATGAATAACAATGCATCTTATGATATTTTATTAAAACTACCATTTTTATAGTGTGTGAAGTTGTGTTGACACTACAGCATGACTTGAGATTTAAAGGGAAAGTAAAACTTTGTACACCGATGGTCTAATAGCAGCCTGATGCCTAGTTATTTGAAGATTATCTGCTTCATAGTTGAAACAGCTATTCATTGTAAAATACCGATTAAAGGTCTGAAAATGTAATAAAGCCTTGCCCTTAAATTTGTTAGGTTAAATTCTAATAACTAAAATAAAACTAAAAAATAATATAAAAAGAATCACTTTATTATTAATAAACATGAACCTAATAGTAAACACTCTAAATACTATTTAGCTAAAAATTTCATTCAAATTTTTTATTTTTTTTTTCACAAACTACTTGTTCAAGTTTTGGCATTTGAGTACTACAAAACCTGCATTCATATTTCTGTTAGATTGAATTTAAGCTTAAGCAAGAATTTCATCACTCAGAGGTTTGTTCTTCTGTTGTTGTATAATTTTTTTAATTTCTTCAGTTTATAGAGAAATTTCAAGAGTTCAAGGAAGCCACTCATCAGACAGCTCATCAGAAACCACAACAGCCTCAAGCAAATGGCAGCACAAGCACTTCCACAGTAGGAAACTCCTCTCCAGCTGTTGGACGAAACCAACAGAAACCAGCACCAACTGAGACTAGTACAACAGAGGAGCTTACAATTAGCAATCAGGTTGACCAAATAAATCTCTCCTCTTCTTTCCCTGCTGCAACTCATAATGATATCAATGCTCTCAAGTCTCCTCTTGTTGCTCACCAAAGAAGTCAAAGTCTCTCTGGCCTGCAGGCCTCCAAGGTAAAAAATTAGAATAGGAATATAAAGTTCTTTAAGATGCATTAAGTTGGTCTCTTAATGAATGTCTGTTTTGAACTCTACCTATCTGTAAAAGATATGGTTTAGGTGATGTTTTTATATAGAAAATGGAAAGGCTAAATTCTCAAGTGAAAACTTACTGGTCAATATACGAAAATAGTTCACTTTGTCATCTCAAGAATAGAACTGATTTAACCTCAGGATAAACAGTTTTCACTCCTCCCCTCCTTCTTATTAAAGCACTGAATCAATGTAATAGACCCCCATACGTAAGGAATCATCTAAAAATTGAGCAACTTGATGTAACAAATACACCTGCCATTGGAAGAAGAAAATTTAATAAGAGATTATTGTTTCTACTTTAAAGCAAGTAGTACATTAATAATATACTGTATTTTGTTAAAACTTGTTTTGTTTTAAGGACATTTTTGTCCATTGGGATTTATCATTTCTTTTCTGTTCAGTAGTTGAATCCTATCAAAAAAAAGAAAAGTTTGAATTAGATGTAATGTATTGTATATTCCTTATATTTTAAAGCTAATAATTTTCCATTTGAAATACCAGTTATTAAACCATTTTTTAATGTGTAAATTTTTAGTTCATTAGCATAATTTTTTCCTCAGAAGTAAAACCCCAGTTGGCAATATTGCTTCATTCTCATGTTTGACATCATAATGAATATGGTTGTTTTAAAATAAGTTTCTTCTCTGCACTTGTATTACATATTTGCTAAAATTAATATTTTATTAATATTCTTCTTTTGTTGTTTTTTTATCCTACTTATTATGGAAAATTAACAATTTTAACAAAAAAAACAGATATCATATTGGCTGGACAATTATGATTTTGTATAGAGATGAGACTTTTATCAAAAATAAATTACATTAAAAGTTCATATGTAAGAAAACAAGAACCTACATGTTTTGGTGATTTTTTTTTTGTGGATAGCTTGAATGACTCACTTAGATGAGATGTTTGAAAATTAAACATTGCCATGTGGCATTTCCTCAGCCACAAAACATATCAAGAAGAAGAAGGGGTTACTGCATGTGTTATATCATTAAGTAGCTCTAGTAATTACCTGTTGTTTCATATGTTCTGAAACAAGTTTAAAAAGTATCAAGTTGAATGTTACCACAGATCCAAAAATGAGTAAATACAGAGGTTCAGTTCATTTTATCTATGCAATTTTTTAGCCTTATTATATTGTTACTGTTCTTTTTGTCATATCTGGTCATGCTCTATTTGACAACTGTGCATCTGTACAGTAGTGTTGCAGTGTAGTTTCCATTGTGACAACTTCATTTTAAAGCTGTCTTATCCTAAGCACACTGTAATTCATCAAGGCTATGAGGATTGTTGTTTTTTTAGCACTCTTTCCAACAGTCTGATCTTACAGAAATCCATAGGTGCTGGTCTGGCAGCTTGACGAGTATGTCTTCATATGGAATAGCATGAATATTTGTTTCTTTCTCCAGCTGCTTGTTTAACTGGAAGCCTTATTGTGGTGAACTCATGCCCTTTTGGCTCTATTGAGATCATTCTTGATTATGTTTTGTACTGTTGCCTAAGGCATGTTGATTTATTTTGTTACTGTCCTTTGTGTTCATGTATTCTCACCTGTTATAAGACTTCATAGTTTGTTTATTATGATTGGGGTATTTCTTGTTGCAAGGTCTCTTTTTGGATGATTCTGGTACCCCAAATTGATCCATAATCCTTTGTTTTTCCAATGACATTAAGTACAAGGGATATCCCCATCCTGGAGATTGTAAATCTCAAATATAAATATATTTTTATGATCTGAATGTATGAATAGTTTGACTTAATAAGGGCTGTTACATACTCTTTCTAAAAGTTATTAATTTTTCTGTGGCATCACACTACCTACAAAATGCCAAATGGTGTCAGAATGTAATTCTAATACATGTTGCTCAACTGCAATTTTATATTGGCTCTGTTGTCACATGACTTGCTGATTTGCATATTCAAAATTTTTCAATTTAACTTACACAACACTGTTTTATACAAAAAATTTGTAAATTTTTATTGGATAAATTGTTAAACATTGTATTAATTCACAACAAAAGTATATGTGACTTTGCAATAAAATAATAGCTCTGATCCAATATTAAGCAAAGTGTTCCATGTAACTATTATTTTTTAACTTACAGACAGCAGAGAGCCCTAAACATCAACCAAAGGATAGGTCACTTACAGCAAGCCTTCCTCATTCAACAGTTGAAACTCAACTACGATATGAAAATGATAGACTGAGATTAGCTCTTGCTCAGAGGTGAATAGCCAGTCTAGAGCATTCTCCTTTGAAAAAAAAGTGGTTGATATCTGAATATGTATAAAAATAGTTTTACCAAGGTTATAGAGACAGTGAATTTATATCGTAGGATTATTGTGAATAATTCATTAAAAGTTCCTGGTTCAAAGAGGCCATATGTGATTTTTATTACTTTTTTATCCACTTGAATATTTTGGCATATTTTTTACAAATAATATTTTTCAACCTGTTGTTTTCATAATGCTACAATGTGTTCAGAATTCATGTCAGATACTTTCTTTCTTATGGAGGGGTACATAAAAGTGTTTTTAAAATGTAATTGATATGGTGTTTAAAAATTAAAAATGCTGAAATTTTCAGTTATTTGTTTCCTGTTCCTTTTTACCTGTTTTTGCTTATGATCTATCCTGCAGCTCAGCCAATGCCAAAAAATGGGAAGTAGAATTACAGACTCTGAAAACCAACAATGCACGTTTAACAAATGCATTGCAAGAAAGTACAGCTAATGTTGAAGAGTGGAAGAAGCAGCTTCACAGTCTTAAAGAAGAAAATATGAAGATGAAGGCCAAGGTAGATTTTTACATTTTGATTTGGGGAAAGAATTGCAGACTAAATTAAAAGGATTATTTTTTATAATAATTTTATTGTAGAAATATGTTGTCATTTAAAAACAAATGAAACACTAAAACATGGTGATTTATTTCTTTCATGGTGACCCTTGTCATTAAAGGATGATTGTTTTTTGTTGAAATTGCCTGAAATGTTTAAAGCAAATAATAATTTTACCCAAAACCAGTTACAAGAGAATCCTTTGAAATTTACAGTCCAGTACTTATCAGAATGTTGTTTTATGTAAGAACTGATTTCACCAAAACAGGACAGTGTATCTACTTTGAAGAATGAACCTGTGCAATTTCAGAGCAAATGTTCTGAACCTTCCTGGGGATGATAATATGTGTTATAAGGATGGACTGAATTTTCTGTCTGCTAAAAAAAATCTTAGATTAACAAGAAAAGGATTGTTCATCCTTTTATTCAAGTACCACCCATAAAACAATCACCTGATTTGTGTTTATATACAGTGGGATGAAGATTAAGTTAATGTAAGTTTGTAATAAGTATTCCTGATGGTTTGAAATTGATGTGAATCTTTTTAACTTTACATTGAAAATTTTGTGTACCGTTGCAAAGTAATCTTAAACATCATCAAAGCTTTATAATAAACTTGAAAAACTGACCTAGCACAAGTTAGAGTGACTGACATAATGGATATACTGTATCTGTAACACTGAACACCTGAGAGACGTAATAAAAGTAACCTAACACTAAACACTCAAGAAATATCATTATAGTACTGTATCTGTAAATAGATTAATGTTAGAGCAGTGAATGCATGTTTAGGAATTTCTCAACCAAAATAGCTTATCTGTAGAACTGACGTGAATCATCAGGCAGGTGGTAGCACTGCCTATGTAGGAATGACTTGTTTGTTGAAATGGTATTCAAGTATTTCTTCATTAGGTCATCAGAACTTTACAACCATATAGTGTTCCCTTTTATAACAATCTATGAAATGGCTGAATCACAAGGTCAGGGAATCACAGCAAAAATTTTGAATTTAGTGTTCATCTTTCTTCTGCTTTTTTTTTATTACATGATAACTCCAAAACCAAAACAATGTTGTCAACCAATCTGACTGAGGTGACATAGTTTCAAACAGAGTAGCTGCTTTTATAAGTATTATTAATAACTGATAGTAATTAAAAATAATAATTCTATTGTAAAAGATGTTATCATTACCCCCTTGAAGTTAGCTTTCTTACAGAAATTTGGTGTTCCTTTAAAACCTTAAGTACAGGGTGAAACAGGAAATACCAGCCAATAATAGATAAACAATAAATATTACAATTGGAAACTCATTGTATTTAGAACTTGTTTATAAATACAACCTCCCTATGTCTATCGAAACACTGCATTAAAACATTCTACAACACTGTGTGCCTGTGCTATTATGTGTAGATGATGCAACTGCCATCCCCATTATCTTATTTGCATTCTTTTTGAAGTATTGACATTAGCCATCCCTACATTTACTTTTATTTTTGAAAAGTTTTTCTTTACTTGTACAATATAAATCCTACACAGATGTTAGTTATGTAATTTTTTTTTTGTCTGCTTTAGATTTTATGACTGCAACTATATATAAAAATGTATTTTTAGCCAGTATATTGGTAAAAATAGATATATTTGCATACATTGTCCTCTCAAAGATATTCAAATGTTGCCCTGCATAAATAATGATAGTTATCCACAATAACACAGGCTCAAAATGATTGTTCATTGATAGTTGCCTGGCATGGCCAGGTGGTTAGGGCACTCGACTCGCAATCTGTGGGTCGCGGGTTCGAATCACCGTCATACATGCTCGCCCTTTCAGCTGTGGGAGCATTATAATGTGACGGTCAATCCCACTATTCGTTGGTAAAAGAGTAGACCAAGAGTTGGCAGTGGGTGGTGATGACTAGCTGCCTTCCCTCTAGTCTTACACTGCTAAATTAGGGATTGCTAGTGCATATAGCCCTCGTGAAGCTTTGCACGAAATCCAAAACAAACATTGATAGTTTATCATAGATTTGTTACACATTCTGAAACAAAAGAATAATTGATGTCCACTAGTTAATACTCACTGGAATATTTCTGAGTAAGTCTGGAAAATGAATAAAACCTTTTGTCAAGTTTATGTATGGTATTTTATTGTTAAAACCTGTGCAATGCACAAACAAAACCAGTATTTCTATTTCAGACATTTTGTTAAAAGAATTGCATTGATGGAACTTAATTATATGATAACATTGTGTTTTAATAATGAATTCTTGACTGGCAGTAAGATTAGGTGTCACCATGACATTGGAATTTTAGTGTTATAGGAAGTACATGATTTACTGTTTCATACTTGCTCGTGAACTTTAGTTTCCTTTTACCAATATACAGATATTTTAATTTCATTACTAAGTACATTAAGTAAAATATTAAAATATCACATGGAAAACTTTAAATCATGTCTAAAAATAAATATGAAGTATTTTGATTTTAAAGACTTTAGATTTGAGCTTTTATAACAATTACATTCTTATTGTCCTTTTTCTTCAAAAATACATAAATTTTGATAAATGCTCAATGAGAATACTGCTTTTGTGTAAGTATAGTTTGTGTACTTATGGTGTATTTAAATATGTTTCATTAACTTAATATCACATAGATGTATGTGTATAAATATTGATGAATGATAAACTGTGTTTTTGATTTTTGAAGAAGTGACAAGTGGTGTGCATGATTACCTTGAATGTGATAACTGAAAAGTTTTTGCTTATTAATGTTGGTAAGTTATGAATATTTTTGATTCTTAGTTCGGGACAATACCACTGATAAAGAAACATAACAGTACATTATGATGTAAATTTAAAGATTTAAAATTAGTTGTTCTTAATATAAATATTGAATATTTCAAGCAAATAAGGCTTGACACTTGTAAGTGTTATGTAAGCAGTTTTATACAATTGTGTATATGAAGTACATAATGTTTTTAAGTTTTAAACCTTGGATCATTTTATGAATGATTTATTTCACTGTAACATATCTACTTTTGCAGATAGGAGAATTAGAAGGAACAATGGGAGATACCGAAGGAATGGCAGATCTTTCAAAAGAAATAACTAATGCACAGTTTACGAATGAAACACTAGAAAATGAAGTGAAGAAAAAGGAAAAGGTATTTCTTTTGTTTTCATGTAAAATTCTATAACAAAATCAGGTAGAATTATTTATTGTAAGGTTGAAATTTATAATGGATTGCATAAAGAAGATTTCACCATAAAGACTGAAATTAGAAGAATTGACCCTGTTTATAATCATATTTTTTCGTTCATTAATCCAAAGCGCATTCAGTAAGATGTCGCATACGAGCTTAACTTACCTTTCAGTATTTTCATAGTCTCAGTCTTGAAACATTTAGCTTACTTGTTAATTAAACATACATAGAGACCCTTGTTGAATTTATGTGTGATTCTGTTTAACTTGTTATGAGTTTACCACTTTGTGCATCAAAAAATATTAATATATTGTTAGTGTCTGATTTGTGTCTTAGTGGTTAAGGCACTCAACTTGCAATCTGCTGATTGAATCCTGTCATTGAACATGCTCACTCTTTCAGCTATGATGGTGTTATTATGTGACGGTCAATTCCACTATTCAGTGGTAGAGTAGTCCTAGAGTTTGCAGTGGGTGGTGTTGACTAGCTGCTTTCTGTGTAGTCTATCACTTCAAAATTAGGAACAGCCAGTGCAGATAGTTCTCAAGTAGCTTTGCACAAAATTCAGCATAACAAACAAACTTGTTTCTTAACATACAATAATTTTCTAATTTTTCATAAGATATGTTCAATAAATGTTCTATTGAATTTCTTGTACTTAATTTACTGATGGTACTGAGTGAAAGATGCTAGAATATAGTAGCAAAGCAAGCTCGAATCTGTTGTCTTGAAAACTCTTGCAAGTATAGTTGCTTATTGTAATTTAGTAAATGATTGTGATTTATTAGTTGATAAATTAAGTTCAAATACAACAATTAGTAAGTAAGTTGTTTTATTTTTCATGGTGTGTCCATATTTAAGAAAATTTTTACAATATCCTTAATAATTTTGGTGTACTTATTTTCTAAAAACACAAATAACTAGGTCATATATTTTAACGTAATTCCCAAGTGTAATACCTAAATGATATAAAGTATATAAATCAGCCTTTAACTATTGCCACTGGTATTATATCAATATATATATATATTAGACTTTAAACTAAAAGTAAATAATTTTTTCTTTATCTTGACTAAATATTGCTTCATTAATTTTGTTAAAATTTACTTTATTTCTCTCTCTCTCTCTCTTGTAGCTTATGTTACCAATAGATCAACTAAATTTAATTATTCATGTTTTAGTTTATTATTTCTGTAACACTGACTTGTAAATTGTCATTCACTGAATGTATGAAGTTGTTTTTCATTTCAGGAGATTGAACTTTTGAAAAAGAAATTAGAAGAACAATCTGTAAATCAAATGGTAGAAGAAAAGCTAAAGGTATACATTGTTCAGGTTCACATGTTTCTATTTTATTTTGAAGTAGTTTTAAGTATATTTTTTTCACAACACAGAAAGACCCCAAGATTTAGTTATTTTTTTACATCATCAAACATTTTATTTTTAACATATTTAATTATGCATTTATCGAATATTATAGGGTTGAATCAAAAATTGTATACTGAAGATAAATTAAATACCATTAAAGTGTTGAATTTTTATGTTTTGCAAAATCTTTAAGTGTGCGTACATTGAATGAAATGTATGTTTAGACACATAGGTAATTGAAGTGATAGAGAAACTTGCAATTTTGGAGAGAAGCTTTTAGTTTCAAAAATAAAACAAAGTTTTAAAATAAGTCGTGTAATTTGGATTCATTCTGATTGTTCTTATAGTGTCTTGCACATTTGTTTGGTTTCTACTTTTTTTTTAGTGTTATTTTATGGCAAATTGTTAAAATTAATTGATAAATCCTAAGTAGACTAATATTCCTTGTATGAAATGGTGGTTTGGATGTTACAGAGCCTCATCTCAGAAAATGAAAGTCTCAAAACAAGCATCTTTAGACTTCAAGAACAGCTGGATTCAGCCAAAACAGACAATAAAACAAAAAAGGTGGCTTTGGAACAACTCAACCAGAGGCTTATTCTAAAAGTACAAGAGTTTAGAGATATCGAGCAAGAGCTGGCAGCTATCATTAATTCTTGATACAGTTCGGATGATCAATTGACTATGCTGGCAATCATCATTCACTTGGAAGCAACTTTGTATGACAGGAGAAATCTTGTCCATGACATCAAGAAGGCAGCACCAGCCTCTACTGTACATGTGTTGAAACTGTATAGCAGTTTCATGTCAATTTCCTATCCAGTTAAATGTTCACTGAATTGCCCTAGAAACAACGATTTAAAACTATTAAGACGTTGGTTTGTTTATTGGCTAGTTATTAGTTATAAGTGTAAGTGCAATAAAAAAAAGCATTAATTAAAGAAATTCATGAAAATGGTTAAATTTTAAAATAGTGTTATTATTATGAAATTGTTTAACATAGTTGTCAATGTAATTTCTCAGGTGCTTTAGTGAAGAAAAATGTACTAATGTGCATTATATTTGTGGTTATAATATACGGCTGCTAAATGTCTTGTTTCCCACCCACTTACGAAGTATTTACTGGAATATTAGATACATTATGTGTAGAAGCAGATTGGAGTTTTACATTGAATAATAAACAAAACTAGATTTAGAAAAATGTGTTTCATTTTTAGACTAACAGTTGTATGTCCAATTGTTGAAGACTTGTAAATAAAGGCAACTAATGTTAATAAATCTATAGAAATATATATTAATATGTTAAAATGTTATTCATGTTCTTTATTATATTTTCTCTGTTCCTTAACCAAATCAGTTGTGTGTTAGGAAAAAAGTGTCAAAACATCCTTATGAATGTGAAACACAATGTTGATGTAAGTAAATGTATTAATAGATTAAAGTTTAATCCAAGAAAAGTATGCTTAGTACACTGATTAGCATCATTAAACTTAAACATTTTATTATTTATTTTAACATATAACTTGTTGATGCTAATTCATGTTTTGTTATTGAAAGTTCTATCACTTTCACTACTAGTACATGGTCATTTGCAACATGTTTTATTAAATACATTATACTGGGAAATTATCACTTTGTATTGGTATGTAATCATTTGTAGTAAAGTCTAACACTGTGAAGTACATTTTCTGTTTTTCAGATATGTACAACCATCTACTGCATTGTATTCTCTTATCTCTTCCAATCTTGAGCATGTTCTACATATCTAAATTCTGTCATACTGATCATTGATGCAACCTTTTCATTCTTTTCACTATTGTTAACATTTGCAGGCTTATATCAAATTTTAGTCATTTCAACTTGGAAGAAGAGGTAGTTGTTTAAAGAAACTCTACTTGTTTTGTACAGTACTTTACAATATGAACACAGTTTGATACTATCTGGTCTCTCCCAGAAGATATTCTTAAGTGGAATAAACATTCTGCTTTCAAAATGTAAAAACCATCCATAGGTACACTTTGTTTTTCTAAAGTATACAAGTAACTAAATTCCTGTCATACTTAGAATGATAGTAACTACTGTGAATACATTGGTCAAGGAGGTATGGATAGATTCAACTACTTTTAATAATATATAGTTTTAACTAAATGTGTTGCAAAATGCCACTTCCTTCACTAAAGAAGTAAGGCATGTAAGATTAAGTATAAGAACCAAGAATTGTATGTTAAAGTCAGCTTAGTTTTCAGGTTCTAAATGTATATGAATGTTTTTTAAGTTGTATTTCTAACATGTGGCTGTTTTCTTTATTAACTACATCATTTTGATTACAGAAACTGTTTGAAATGTTTGTGGAATTTCACCTTGTGTTGATTTATGTGGAACTCGAGCACAGAACAAATAATTACTTTTGAAGATCTGTTTGGAAAATAAGTTTTTATAAATTATTGTTTCTTGCTGAATACTCACAGTTTAAAGTGTTGTATGATGAATGTAAAATATATGTATATATATATTTAATACGTTTCCTATTGGGAATGAGATTGTATCTTTGAAGTTTGTAAGTGAATGATTTGGTTGTGTATGAATAGCTGGGTTTACCTGGCTTATATCATGTTGATGCTGATTACAGACATCAGTCCATTGTGTATGTCACAAAATTTCACAGAGTTACATTTGAAATTTAATTGAATGACTTTATTATCAAGGTATGTTTATAAATTTGGCATCAGAACATAGTGTATAATTCAAACTTTGGTATTATTTATGTTTTAATTTCTTAAAAATTCTCAATCTTTATATGTATTGTAGCATGACATGCATTGTGCTCTCAATTCTCCCTTTTAATTTATATAACTTCTACAGTGTCTATAAACACAATCTCTAAATAATGACAAAGTCAAGTGTATAATTTTAATACCTCCATTTTCTGAGATATCAATATATTTTCTAACCATGACATAAGTCCTGCTCATTTATCCTTAACTTTCAAGGGACTTTTCAAAACCACAAGTTTTTATTTGATGCATATGTTTATAACCAATATAAAGAGATTTGTTCGATTTCAATCTTGCAACCGTCCTTTTGAATTTGGACATTAGTTGTAATTAGAAGTAATTGATGTGTGTGTAAACAGACTTGTTACTCATAGCAGTAACAGAAATTTTACCCTATTTATAGCTTAGTTAGAAAGTAGTTTGAGGATATTCTATTCAAGCACTGAGTAATATATTTTGTTCTATATTGTGCAGTACATTGATGAACAAGAATCTGTTAGTGTATCCACACTGTGATGTGTTGGCTTTCACAGAAGAATTAATTAATAATGGTACAAGCCCAGCGATTAAAAAACCATAAAATTAATATAAAATTGTTGTGGAAGGTTAAAGTTGAAATTTTGAGTACCATGAATTGAAGATGTAGCAATAAATGATGCATTCAAAGAAGAAGGAAAAAAAGCAATATTGATTCCACTGTACGTTGATGACTTTGCTCCAGTTAGTGTTAGGGTAGAGAAAATAACAGAAAAATATGTATAATTTTACTTTAAAAAATATTTTTAATATTCATTTGGGAAGTTACTGAAATTATGCAAATGAAATATGAAAATTGTAAGGTGAAAAGAAATATTTTTATTCTCAGCATAAAAATTAACATTTCACTCAGACTGACTCTGTAATGGATTTATAAATTCACAGACAAATCTGCAGTAAAAATACTTTGTTAAAAAATCTGATTTCTTGTGCACAACATACTTGCAGTGTTTACTAAAATCTTGAGAAATTTTGTAAAGCTACATTTAGTACATTCAGAGTTATAGTGTATATAGTTTCATGGCTAGTTAGTAGTTATAAAGTCACTCTAATTCCATGCATATGGTTATGTGAAGTGACATACAATTTTTATTTGATGTGTTGAAGCTTTGTTACCTTTTATCTTGTTTGTATATAGTTTCAAAATGTAAATATGTTTTATAAATTTTTGCATCATCAATTTCATAATGAATTTTATAGTATTTTAAATCAATTTTATTTTAGTTTTTTTGCAGATGAACTAATGATTTTTTGTTTGTTTCGTTTTCAAATGGAAAAAATATTATTTTACCTAATATATATATATATCACAATTTTCCAATTTTGGTGCTGTAATATTCATAATATAGAAAAATATAAATATAATTTTTGAAAGACAAAAATGGTAGAGTTTCTGATAATGAAATATTCTTTAGAAAAGCTCAATTGAAATTGAATATTATATATTTAGGTGCTGGTCGTAACAGTCTGACACTGGTATTTTGTACACAAGGTTTTTCAGTAAACATTTCTTGAAGTAATGAGGCTTTGTACGTATTATAGCCTGTCATTTAAATTACAATCGTCTTTGCAAGGTTTGATACAATTTGCCATACTCCTTTAGGGATAAACTCTGGATGTTGTGGGATATTGACTGGTTTTGTTTCTATTCGTTGAGCATCTTCCACTTTTAGACTTTTGCAACCACTTAATGTTGTAATGGACGAGACTGGTTTTGCCACTTCACTGGATGTCGTCATCAGTGCCCATTGAAAACGTTTGGAAAAAAATGAAAATTGCTTGTGCTTCCTTCAAGCCTCCTGGTGGGTGAGCTGTAAATTTACGAACTTACAATGCAAAAATACGAGGCTCAATTCTCCACGGTGGACACATCGGATAGCCAAATGTGGCTTTGCCCTAAAATATACACACACATGCTTCCTACGACATTCGGTGATTATATTCAAAAACAGACATGATAGGTAGTAGCTACTCATATTCAATACATTTTCTTATGTTGATTTTTCAACATTAGTATTACATTTCTCCTGGGTTATAGTTGCAGGTTTTTCCAGCAGCCTTTACTTCACTGCATAAGGGGTATGTCTGTTTTCTTTATTAAAAACTTTTACACCTATTGTACTGTTTTGATATTTCATCATGTGTTGTTTTCTGTTTTCATTATTGACTTATGTTCATACTGATAGACTTAGAAGCTTTATACTGTTATAATAACACATGCGTAACATTATTTTTAGGTTGTTTATTCAAGCAATTTATGTCCTTGATAGAAATGTCTAGCTTTCTGTGCACTATCCATAACACTTAAGGTTAAGAATATGAAAAAAGGGAAGTATAGGGAAAGACTATATTGTAAAATCTGCATTTAAGTTTGGGAACTGTTTTCAGTCATTTTGTCAAACTTTAGTTTTGTTTTTAGATCATACTGCAAGGGTAAGAATCCCCTATTTCATAATTTTGTTTTTAACAACCCTAAATTTTAAGAGTCTTCCAGGTTATAAACAGGTCTAACCTTTTTGTTACATTAATTTCTGTAGGTTTGTATAATCTCAATTCATGTGTTTTGCTGAGTAATGTTTTTAATGCTGTAGGTATCAGTAAAAGTAAATTTTCTCAAATGGACAGAAAGGAAATTTAATAATTATGTTCAAATGTGTATCAAGATGAGCTATGACTCTATAGTGGGCCAGTATATATCATATCTTTGTTAAAAGTGTATGTATATTAATATATTCAGCTATCCTTTCAGTTCTTTAATCCTCTAATTGCACATTGTAATGTATAGGTAACAAATCTCTATATGTTGCTTAATACACATAAAAATTTTTCAAGTCAGTAGCTGAATGCACTTACTTCCAGGTAACAGTCTAACTAAACAATGGAATTATTTTTTGGTTCCTCAATTGAACAATGTTATTTCTAAATAATGTTACTCATTTATAACTTACCAAAATTTATGTCACAACAACATATCTTTGTGCAACATAGACCTATTTAAGTAAGAAATAAAAAACAACATTTTTTTCCATTGTACTTTCATAATGTATGCAATAGAGGGTTAAGATGTATTACCATACCTGTATTTTAACAAATGAATATTGGAGATTCTGTATATAGTTGTATTGTAAAACACCTACATACGTATGTTTCAAATATATAATCACATTTAAGGAAAGCTGAATTTTTTGATAATTACATTTTACTTGTTTGAGGCTTTGTTACCAAACTATTACATCATATATTCTTTACCATAGATATTGACTTTTTCCATTAATGGTTCTTATCTTTAGTTATCTATGACTAACCGAGTCATCATATTTTTATGGTGGCAATTTCAATAAGAAAATTACTGCTTTCTTTGATCTGATAAAACTTAGACTGAATTTTCATGAAAGGACAAGTTATGAACAGTTGTTCTTTTTTAAAAAAATTTTATGGATAGAAAGTTTTATTGTGTCTCGAAACTGGAATCTAATGAAAATTGCTTAAGATTGACCAGAACAATGCTAACTTCCAAAAAACAAACAAACAAGAGCTTATTCCTAAACCAGAATAGAATATCACTTTTCTGCTCAATCTGGTCCACTTATCTTTTAATGTGATTCTAAACTATAATGGAGTATTTCCATTTAACTTGGATCGTGGTCCACTTTTGTTTTTATATAATTGCAAGCTTATAATGAATTTCTCTGTGTCACCAACATGTAATCATATAAGTAGTTATTAATTCCTCAGAAAAACAGATGTTTAGATTTTAATTGTTTGCTTTATACTTGGTTTTGTTAATTGTTGACTTTTTGGTACTTATAGTATGAGTTTAGAAATTACTCTGAGCAAAAAAAAGAAATGCACGCACAGTATTTCTACTTATACTTAGCAGTTTACAAATTGAACAAGCAGGCAGATTTTGAATAGAGTTGCTCACTCTATCTCTTGTGTGATGTTTATCACATAGGATTGTCTATCCAAATTGTTGCTTGTTAGGGGTAATTGGGGTCAGGTTCTTCCATATTAAGGCGTGTATTTATTCTTTCAAAGAGGAATGATGATGGACAATAAAAGTTATTCCATTAGATAGTCCTTTCTTGGGTTGCACATTCACTTTCAAATTTTTCTTTCATTACTGATGGTGGTAATATGGTTTTTGTGTTATATTATTCCTGCAAATGCATTAGGAAATTTCTGTAGACATAGTTGAGTCTTTCCTCATTGTTTAGTTTCACAGTATTATAACTTGTCATTTTAATGAGTTTTGTAAATTTGTACGAATGAAATAAAATGGTTGATTATCTAATTGGGTCTCTTTATATGGACATTCACAACGATTATGTCAGTAATAAAATAAGTCTGTTTAGGTGTCACACTTTTTAGGTTGAAGAAAGCGAGATACAATATGTTTAATATTTTTATTATGCTAGCACTTAATTAAGAATACTAAAGCATGGAATTGTGTAACGAAATATGAAAACTTGTTTAGAGAGGTCCTACAGTTCTGAGTAAAAAAGTACAAATGTCCAAAATCTAGGAAATTTAAGTTTTAAAAAAAATTTCATTTTGGTCAAGTCTTATAAAATATAATTTTATGATGTTTTCAGTTCTATAGTATTTATTATGTTATTTGTGAAAATACTGCTTAGCCCCTTTTTTTTTTTTATCAATCTGAACAATGTCAGAAACTTATTATGATGTTTGGTAGTTCTCTTCCCGAGGCCCTAAATATAGTACTTGCATAGGTGTAGAACTGCAGTGGCATGGCTCCGACGTGGAAATTAGGTTTTTAATATGAGCTCTTTAATCTGATGGTGACGCCACATAAGTGCCTGTGGCACTAAAACGTTCAGCTCTATGCAACTAATTACCTGCTATTTCATCATCTTTGATATACAGAGATCTTTAAAATTTTTGGCGTGATCGAAAGTCAATAAAATGTATACTATTTATTAACATATGGAGCAATAATTTCCTGGTAAATATAGCGTAATGCCCTGGGTGACACGAGATGGCGTATTAACTAAAGACTTCCATTTGTGTCTATGATGACCTAACTCGTTAGTATTATGTAATAGATAAGTGAGCGAAGCTATTCAACATATTTTATTGTTTACACAAGACACACTTGATTTTCGGGCCATGGAGATAAAATCAGTTGTGTATTGTGACGTGCGTCCAACGTTAACGCGTTTGACAAGTGTCATTCCGCAGCATGAAACCTTGTTAAATATTTGACAATTAGCTGTCGATTATACCATCCCAAAGATGCAGGCCACATTGATCAGGTAGTATCATCTGGTGACTATTTACGGTAACCACAGATTAGCGCTTCGCGTTCTATATTATCAACCAAGCATTATTGATCTATGACGAAGTATAATTTTAATGATGTTGGAACACGCCAAAAAAACCTTTTGAGAAACTTTAGGCGTAAAAAATAAATATTATATTTAATTAAATCATTCTAAAGGTTCTTCTGACTTATGCATTGCTTGTTTTTTAGGGATATATCATACGTGTATTTTCATAATTAAACCAAACATCTGTACTGACTTATCTAGTTAAGATTTTTCTTTCTATCTTTCGACAGTTATTAAAATTTTAGAAAAAGTAAACATTAGTCCTAGTATTATCACTTTCTTAGATCTGTTATAACGTTTTATTTTCTTCATTGCGATTAAATTAACGATTTTGCTGCTGCTGTTGAAAATTAATTAAATATTTAGAAATGTGGAGCACGGTTAACTCTGAATTTTCCTCTCCTTATTTCTCATACTACTAATTGCTGTCACCGAAACTAGCGTTTTTCTGATTCTCATTTAATTTTTGGCATCAGTTTGACTAACAATTACGGATAGCGTAATGAAATGATTAGAAAGATCTGAAGACTTTGCACGTATCTAGAACTAATTGTATGTAATTTCTAAAAACAAAAACTGAAGCATCTGGAAAAGCTTATACTTCCCTTTTTCTATTACATTGAAATATACTTAATATCATTAATTGCGATACTTTTGGGAGCACACACGAAAAAATTACGATTAGGCCTAACATTTTTTTTAATCACAGCTAACTATGCATAGTAGATTTTATCCGCATCTCGTATATGCCTACCACTACCCCTCCCCCAGCAAAAAAGGATGAACTCACTTTTTTCAATAAAATTTGTTTTAATCTTTCCACGAATTTTGTTCTCTCAAAGTAGTGTAATATTAATATTTAAAACTGTTATATAATATATATATATAATTATCCTGGACATACAAAAGTATCGAATTTCACAAACTTAAGCTATTTTTATCTATTGCGTCAGGACTATATATTACTATAAATGAGACTAATAGTTTCAATAACTGATTCAACTAAGTCACTTTTATTTGTATTTTTCATTACAAAATATTTACACGTAATGCTTACGTGACTGACTACAGGTCATAAATAACTACACAGTAAAAACATGCAAGTTTCTATTCACATATCCCTAAAAAATTGATTACATAAATAACGTATTTGTGAATGCAACTCAAATGAATAAATATTTGAATCGTATAAAATAATGTGAAAGATCGTGGCGGCGTCACCTCATTACACATTTCTAGAATTGGTTTCCATGACAAATTTTGTGAACCAATAAGAAAAGAGTAGGAACGATAAGTTTGCACAATAAGCGTTGTTTTTCCGTGGAAAATAAAAGAAGTTGAAAAGTTATACCATAAAAAATTTCAGATCATAATGAAACAGTTCATTTGATCATCAAAAATACTGGATTCAATATCCGCCAACCAACAGTAAGAAAACTAGTAATTCGTAAAAAACCTAAATTAATTTGATAATCACAAATAGTGGATACACTATCCGCCAACCAACAGTAAGAAAACTAGTAATTCGTAAAGAAACCTAAATTAATTTGATAATCACAAATACTGGATACACTATCCGCCAACCAACAGTAAGAAAGCTAGTAATTCCTAAAGGAACTAAGTTCATTTGAACATCAAAAATACTGGATTCAATATCCGCCAACCAACAGTAAGAAAACGAGTAATTCATAAAGAAACCAAAGTTCATTTGATCATCAAAAATACTGGATTCAGTATCCGCCAGCCAACAGTAAGAAAACTAATAGTTCGTTAATGTATGATCATGTGAAGTAAACGAGTATAATAATATTAGATAATTACTGAAATATAACATTGAAGCAACTGACTACGCGATCGTTGAAAAAAAGAGATTACAGTTTTAACTTCAACTCCGTGTACAGTTGCTCCTTTTTTGTATCGTTTTTTTCTTTGCCAACAATAACAGTGGTCAACAAATAACTCAAAGATATTTGGAATGTTTACTTGCGTGTGAACAATGCTCTTCCTTCAGGTTTCCAACACTTGCATGAGCCGTTCACTAGGAACCAGTCGTAATACATACGAACAATGTAACAGCCTATTTCGTCGTAACTGTCACAGTTCTCAGTATCAGGGAGACCATTAGGAAAAGTTGACAGTTTCGTGTTACTCTGATAATAGTTCGGATAATGATTTGAATGAACTTCGGGTTCTCCAACACGACGACGTAAGTATTGTTGGAAGTTGGTGAAATCCTCGACAGGTGGCACGCCGTCTTTATAGGTGTTACTAGATCCTGGAGTAGTGGGAGTAGATGTGGGAAAATAGATGTTAGGATAGAAAATCTCTGCTACTAAAAGACTCACCCACCGAGGACTTTCATGGCATACTCCATCCGTAAAATCACAATGAGACCGCCTGAAAGATAAGATTTTTCACTTTAAAGATCTATTTCTATAACGTCAAAACAGTTAACTAGCTTTTGAAAATCCAATTCATTTCCATATCAAGGTCCAGATTTCTATACACTCTCAAATAACTACATGTCGCTAACAATATTTTGGAGATGTTAGCTAACTGAAAGTTGTACAAAGATTTATACATTAGGCCTTAATTTCATTTATTTTAAGCTATAATAATGCACGGTACCAGATAATCTAATAAGCTTTTGACAGTTCTATTAGTCATGTTTCAAAGATGTACACAATTTACTTTTCGCTGAATAAATTTCGACAGATAACTTTAAGCTTTAATCTGGAGGTTACAATTGTTAAAAATTAAATGTACAATGTTATGTACAGCACTCGAATTGTAAAATAAATAAATAAAAAAGGGAATTCCTGAAATCTAATCACAGATGCATATTCTCACAATCAGACACTTGAAAAAGTTAGTTTTTTTTTCTGTTATGAAAGGGAACAGCATATTCCTCAGTTCCTCATGAAGCACAAATCGTTTCCAACAGTTGCTACTACTTACAATTATGGGCCCGGCATGGCCGGGTGGATAAGGCGCTCGACTCGCAATCTGAGGGTCGCGGGTTCGAATCCCCGTTCCACCAAACATGCTCGCCCTTTCAGCCGTGGGGGCGTTATAATGTGATGGTTAATCCCACTATTCGTTGGTAAAAGAGTAGCCCAAGAGTTGGCGGTGGGTGGTGATGACTAGTTGCCTTCCCTCTAGTCTTACACTGCTAAATTAGGGACGGCTAGCGCAGATAGCCCTCCTGTAGCTTTGCGCGAAATTCAAAAGCAAAGCAAACTTACAATTATTAATATCGTTTTTGTAATTATTTTTACTTTCTGAACTTTAATGTTAGATCAAACTTCACTTGATCAGTGGACGTAGTTAAACACGTATTATATTGTTATGTATTCCTGCGCGTACATTTCGTATTTCCAAGTGATATTAATCATCAATTTTTTTAAATTTCTCATAAAGGTTTGATTTGATTGTTATGAATTTCGCGCAAAGCTACACGAGGGCTATCTACACTAACTGTCCTTAATTTAGCAATGAAAGACCAGAAGGAAAGCAGCTAGTCATCACCTCCCACCGCCAACTATTGGGTTACTCTTTTACAATGGTGGGATTGACCGTCACATTATAACGCCAGAGATTCGAACCCGCGACCATCAGACTGCGAGTCGAGCGCCCTGGCCATGCCAGGCCTTCTTATAAAGAAATAGTATTTAAAACTTTCACATCAAACCTAAGTGGTGACTGTTCATTAATTACAAACCTATATGCATTATATTTGTTTGTTTTGAAGCTAAGCACAAAGCTACACATAGGACTAACTGTGCTCTGCAAACCACAGGATCGATATCCGGTTTCTAGCGTTGTAACTTCGCAAACATACCGCTGTGTCACTGGAGAGCATATGCATTGTAATTTATTACACTTTTTTTTATCAGGGCTGATGATCACCTGAACCAGCTTATCTCACCTGTTTCACACCAACTGTAAATATTATAATAGCTACAACTATTCACCGTAAAATGTGTTTTAAATTCGGGTAATTGTGTTCATTACAATTTTTAGAATGTCCACTGTACATTATGATCATTACAAAATAAGCCCCCCAGTGGCATAGCGGTATATCTGTGGACTTACAACGCTAGAATCCAGGTTTCGATACTCGTGGTGGGCTGAGCACAGATAGTCCTTTGTGTAGCTTTATGCTTAACTACAAACAAACAAACTTATTAAATAAAACAGAATGGATCATAAAATCTACACTGGTTAGCTTACCCCTACTTTCAAACATTTGTTAGTTCATTTGCAAATGAATAAAGTATTTAACTTATCGAAAATGAGTAAAAAAGAACGTATCAAGTGTAGTTAAGAAGTTAGCACACAGGATCACATACAAAAGTTGTAATGATTTTCAAACGAGACCCAAAAAACGTATCAAATTACACGTCATATGTGTGTGAAAATGTTTACCAAAAACACTAGGAAATTGATATAATCATGCAAGCCATCACATTCTTGAGTGTCTTAAATAACGCAGGCCTGTGAATTTAAACTTCATAATTGTTTTGGATTTAATAACGAATTTTCCATAATTCAGCTAACAGATTTCGAATATTCATTTTTTTTTCTATCACGTAAAGATTTTTTACAAATCTGGAAGAAAAAAACTCTTACTCAGATCAAATTATTATTTCGTTTAACACAATAAACATTTTATTATTATGTTTGTTAACAAAAATACAAACAAACTGAAGAAAAGGGAATAACAATGATGTCAAACGAATATGCATCCTCATTCATCCTGATTTTTTGTGTGTGAAATCTATGTCTTTTAGTCTCAAAACTACGTGTTGGGATATTTTATATATTGCGTTATGACGTTTTGTGTAAAATCTGTACGCGATAGAGAAAAATTTATATCATTCTCGGATTCAGCGTACAGGAGTTACAGTGGAACATGTAAAAATTTCAAAGATAATAAAACCATCGCAGGCCTGTGTAATAAGATATAATTTCCAAAGTATCTTTCGTCATAGGATAAAAACTTAAAAGACTTGAACATTGCACCTCATTCTCCCTCTTAGGTTGAAGAATTGATACTTACACACACTTAGTCTGTTGGACGGTCTGAGTGAAGTATCCTTCTTGCGGGATTTGTACAACGTACTTCCAAACACCTTTGTAGTTCCGAGCAAAAGTTGGAGTGACATACTCCTCAATCGATGGACACGGCGTTGGCGGAAGCTCTTCTGACAGATTGTTCAACGGTGGGTGACTCTCAGACTGACTGGACCCGCTGTTGGTTGAAGGAGTGCCCCGTCTGTTTGGAAGGATGTTAGATAGATAATCTAATGGGGAGTTTCCGCTTCTAATAAGATCGAGTATTAAAGAAAGAGCAGTGGGAACATGGCTACCAACTCCAATCACACCATTATTCGATGATGACTGACCACTGGCACCCGTTAAAATAGATAACATCTGTAATAAAGGGGAACGATCTTTTGATGAATTATCTTCATAACTGGGTTTTTCAGGTTTAGAAGATGAACTCGATTCTTCCTGAAGTGCATTTATAATTGTGGGCAAAAGGGATAAAAGAGCTGTAGAAGAACTTTGGCTTGGTTCGTTGACAGAATTCTGTACATCAGAGTTTGATGGTTGATTTAAAAAGCCTGATGATTCTGCTTGATTTTGGAAGTAGAGACTCGTCATGGTACTTATCAAGGAGCACAGTCTAGAAAATTGAAAGAAAATATTAAAAGTAAGAGGATGAAAAAATCCTGATAAAATAATATTTTAAAATCAAGCACACCATTCTATGACACATATTTCAATTGTATTATAAGCTAATTTTGAGAGAAATATTTATAAACCATAAAATTGTGTTGATAGGCTAATATTCTGAAAGTCAAGTCAGGGTTTAATACTATTGGAAGTTTTAGTCTGTTAATTCAAACATAACAATATATTATACATTTTATACGTAGAATCACACCGATTCTTCGGGTGTTATGTAAGGCGAAAACTGATACATTGAATGATTTATATTTCAATTGACTTCGGATTTGGAAACGATAGTATGTTCTATTATTTAGTTTATTAAAGGGCCTGTTCACGATCTATGTATGGTAACAACTGACATATTCATCACTTGACTCTTAGCTATTCCTATTGCCTGTGACTGCGAAGATTCAAAGTCGCGATTCTTTTGTTGCAATTCCGTTGAAGTTTGGTGATTTTAAAGTCCAGATGAAATTTTAAAAATTGACTTACTCTTAAGAAGGTGTTTTAGAAGACTTTCTGAAGAGAATTTCTTATATTCCCAACTATAAAAGTATGTAAGGTATGATATTTTAGCATTAAAAAAAGGATATTTGTAATGTTGAACTGCACTGGCAAAACACGAAAAAACATGATTCCAGCAAGTAAAAACAGGCTAATACAGTCGTAAGCCAGAAGTAATTAAGAAAGTTAAACAGCTTGTCATCAGAAGTCATTCATTACAGCTAACGTAAAAACTTCTATTTGAACTGCTAACATGATAGCTCACAGAGATTTGGGTCCACATAAGCGAAATGAGAATCATATTTATATTGTTGCGTCAGCAGAGGTCACGTGACTAGTATCACGCCACGTCCTTCTCGAACATTCACGTCCCTTCCTTAAATCTTAGGATCCTTCTAGATATAGTGTAGTCTTGTATATATAAGACGGTCACAAAGTGACGGCAGCAATGTGTGTAACTGAACTGAGTATTGTTGAGTCGAGCACGTGAAACGTTCGTTGAGAATTATAGCGTTTGTTATAGCGCGACTGTTGAAATTAAGTGTATCGCAAAGTTATATTCAGAAAGAATAAACCAGTTTTATTTAAGAAAGGACTTCTATCGGTAAAGTTTCTTCGGAAATAATTTTTACGGAAAATTAACGAACGAACGGAGACGTAACAATATACTTCTCTAAAACACATAGACTAATTGTTGAAAGCTGTACAAGAAGTACTTGGTATATTACCAGCGAAATGTTATTGTCATGTTGTACGAAGTGTATATAAATGTCTGGGTAATTTATTATCACTCTGCCAGTAATACAATATTTGAAAACGGCATAGACCATGGAAAATATTTCCCAAGGAACTTACGGCGGCTGCAAGTTACAGCTATAATGGCAAGCGAAACATGTAAACTCTGTATACTATCAGAATAATGTTGCTGACACAACTATACCTCGAAGAATACCATCTTTGTACGGCCTTGATGCCAGTAATTTCTTTACCATCGAGACTAAACATCCGGCCACAAGTTAACATACAAGAACAAACGGAGATATGTGATATACTACATAGAGAGCTAACCAGAGGACATTGTACATTTATTGCGATAAAAAAGAAATGAAATTTTAGTTCCTAAATTTTAGAAAGCGGCAAAGTTAGACCGATGAGAAAAGATGTATGATCATTGAATTGGGACAATTATTTAAACAGCTATGTCAAACAGATTTGTAAAATATTTTTTAAAAGCTAAGTAAAGACATAAAAGAGAAAATCAGAGATAAACGTCATAAGTTTAAGAAGCTTAAATTGACAGACAGGACAGAAGATATCCAGATCTATAGGAAGACTTGGGATTTGGTTAAAAAGTAAATTAGGAAATCCAGGGGGGCTTAAGAGTAACAGCTGGCTCACAATGTCAAAGCCACATGCAAAGATCTTTGAAGTGTGCTAAAATTAAGCAAAATGTTAGAATTGAAATTGGATCTTTAAAGGTCGGTAACTGCGAGGTTACTGTTGAAAACTATGAGATGGCTGTTCTAAATGTTTTTTCTCTGATGTTTTTACAAGAGAAGACGTTAGCAATATTCCTGACATTGAGCATTCTACAGGAAATATTGGAATCGACGAGAATCATGTGGGTGTTAATCCTTTGGTGATAAGTAGGAAGATTGAGAGATTAAAAGTAGATAAAGCACCATATGGCCAAGCAAAAATTTTCCTAGGATTTTAAAATAGGTAAAAATTCAGATATATTAGCATCTCTCCTTCATTTTTGATATTTTAATAGAGAGTGGGCAGATGTCTGAGGATTGTGAAATTGCCTACAATTTTCTTGTTTTCGGTTATAAGAGTTGCATTAGAAACTATAGGTCAGTTAATCATATTTCTGTAGTGAAATTCTAGAGAATCTGATAAAAGAAGCTTTACAAAATAATCTAGTGAAATATGATATTTTAAATGAAGTCTAACATAAATTTGCCAAAGGGAAATCTTGTTTTATCAATCTGTTATCTTTTTTGAGGATGTTACTTGTTATTTGGACAATGGAAATTATGTAGATTTGATTAATTTAGATTTTCAAAAGATATACAATAAGGTAGCATGCAAAAAATTAGCTGAGAAAACCACATCGGTAGAAGGTGAAGAAAGACTAGTTAATTGGAATGTAGAAATGTTGGATGTGAGAAAGGAAAATATTATTCCTAATGGAGTCCAGTAAAACGGATCCCTTGTTACTAGTGAAGTATCTTACGGATCAAAGCTTGTGTCTTTACTCTTTCTTAATTACATAAGTTATATTGGTAGGGACATAATTAGCACAGTTTACTGATAATGTTAAACGTTTGTGTATTTCTAGCTGTATTGAGAAAATTAACATATTATACAATGGCTTGGGTTAATTGGTAGATTAGACAAATGATTCGCAAATAGTGACAGATTAGAGGAAAGGCAGCTAGTCAACACCACCTACTGCCAACTCTTGGGTTATTCTAATGGAATATTGATATTGAACTTCACATTATAACGTTTCCACGGCTGAAATCATGAGCATATGTGGTAAAGGAATTCGAACCCGCGATCCTCAGACAGCGAGTTGAGTGCCCTAACCACCAACCAATGCCAAGCCCCTGTAAAAAGGGAGATTATTATATTTAAAATCAGTTGGAAACATAGATTAATTATTCAGCACGAAATGTTTTGTTTTTCTTAAAGCCTCAGGAAAATGTTTATAAATTCAACAAACACATATTTGAGCATACACTTTCTTGTCCTATTCTGTAAAGGAAATGCAGTCCCTCGACGGGGGTAGGGGGATGTGAGTAGAACACTCCGGAAGAATGTGTTTGTGGTAACACTTCTCTTTGCACATAGTAGGAGTTTGCAATGTCAACTACAATGAAAATAACTGTCTATAACCCTGTCTTATAAACACATTTTCTGTTGTAAGACAATATTTAACACGGACCGTTGTAAGTTTCGATGAAAGGAGAATGTTTTAACGTCAATGTAAATGAAGATTTATGCCAAGAAAACCATTTGTGCACTACCAGTAATGTGGTCGCGTAAATCAGTTTTTTTTTTGTAAATGATTTATGATTTCATCATAAGCTACCTCCTCTATATTTGTCTTAACACCACGCCACTGCCAACAGACACAAGTCAGTGGCCAAGGTTTATTTAAAAGGGGATAAAGAGAAAGAAAAATAATAATAAAGTTCCAACAAAACATTGATGGAATATGGAATGAAAAGGCTTTACTATCTACAGTGGCATTTTTTGTTGTGTTTAGTAACCATTACATTGTTATGTATATATATGTAATATTGGTCGCCGCTTTTAACGAATATTTTACATTTTCAGTTTGTAGTTACTCATACTTAGTAAATTCAACAGCCTATCATACAGAAACAAGATTGCATAAATTTGACTCTTTTATATATTTTTAAATGATCTCTCCTAAACACGGACGTAACTACAAAAGATATCCCCCTGGCATAAAAAGTAATTGGGCTCCCTACATTTAGTTCCCTATAATTGTAGTTACGATTCTAGTTGATTCACCCCACCCGCAATTGCGGGGGCATACTTACGTCACTTGTCCTAGATACACTTACTCATTCTCTATCTAACATTAAAAAATTTAATGTGCTTTCCATAAAGTAACTTCCAGCTTTTGAGACTTGTGGGTCGTAAAATTATAAGCAGAGCCGAATTAACTAAAAGACAGATTAGGCAGTTGTCTAGGAGCCTCGAGTGTCAAAGGTCCCGCACCAACTATATTTTTTAATTTAAATTTTATATGCTACGTGACGTCTGCTCTACTTGTCTTTAGACTAATCGAAGTTAATGTTTTCAATAACCTTCTCAGGTATCTTTTTAGCTGGAAACTGTAGTAATTTAAAATAATGACACTTAATGAATAGTTGTTTTGATGGGCAAATTTACAAGGAGGGCTTGTAGAGAAAAGAGGGAGTTCAAAGAACTGAAATTGCCTATAGGCCCATTGCAGTCTTAAACCGACCCTGCATACAAGTAATAAAAAAATCATTATTATAAGAATATTATTTTTGACGTAAGTGGTCAATTTAGAAAAACACAGACCACTTTTTATTCACTGACATGTGTAATAATGAGGGATAATTGGTGCATTAGTACCAGAAATGGCGATGAGAATAGGTTAGGCTGAAAATAATCTGAAGGTTAACGACCGGCCACATATATTCTGAAGGGAAGGAGGATAGAAAATGGATTTTCTTTTAAAAGTAATCTAACACATATTCATGCAAATTAATATTAATGTTTCCATATTGCCATTCTATTTATTTATGCACTAATGATACTAGAGGAAACTCCAAATTTCCACAACAGGAAATTTAATTCTATCGAAAACATTCTTTCAATCTGGAAAAGTTCCAGATAAGAATTTTGGTTTCAAATAAACCTTTATAATTCCATGTAACTTGAGTGCATTTTCATCATCGAAACTATAGAAAGTTAAAAAAAACACGATAAAGATGATTTTTCAAGTGATATAAAAGATGACAGTATCTCTCAAATTATACATAATATTTAATGATAAAGAAATGTTTGTCGCGACTATAGTTTCATTAAAAACATATGCTTGATTTAAGCTATATTTCTAAATTTAAAGTTTCTCAATATTTGACTTTCCTACTTTGACTTCTAAACGGTAAGAGTGAACAATAACAACAGTATTGTTTGTTTCTAATTAAGCACAAAGCTACACAATTGGCTATCTGTGCTTTGCCCACAACGGGTATCGAAGCCCGGTTTCTAGTCCGCAAACATACCGCTGTGCCACTGGGGGACAATAATAACAGTAAAGAGACTGTATATGTATTTGATATAAATAGCCCATTTAATTTCAGCTTTTAACATGCTGTGATCTGATACTTACAGTCCAGAACCTTGAGGGCATAGTTCACGGCTGGTAACAGTTGAATTTGTTAAAGACTGGGTGTGATTATAAACGTCTTTTTGTTTCATCAAGTTGACCGTAGTTTCGGTTTGGTTAGACTTTTCTGTACTGGTTACCTCATTCTTGACTTGTATTGGTGCTTTGTATGGTTTGGCTCCAGGATCAGAAAAGCGTTTCTTCCGACGGAATAAAGAAGTTTGGTGAAGATCAAACCCTCCTGGCTCTCGATAGGAAATGGGCGCTCCAACGAACCTTGCCACTTTTGGTATTTTTGGATCTTGTTTCAGAAATGGCAACGCAGCTGACAAAAACTTCAGCGTCTTGGTTTTAATCAGATCACTGTCATAAATGCAAATATTAATTATTGAAATATCCTCCGTGAATACAAAATAAAGAAAAATGACAAACTTCAGATAGTACCCTATAGTATGGATTAAGTACCATTATGTTAAGCTAATTACTTAAAAAGAAATAAAGTTGAGATATTTGAAAATGAAAGAATGGGTATATACTAGTTTATTTGAAAACAAATGTTCGTAAGAGAGCTATTCATTCTAAAAATAAGATTAATACAAAATATTGTTCATAAAACCGTGAAAACAATTCTTAATCATTAACAAACAATTATAACTAATTTCAAACATGTATATACAAAAGCTAAATGAATTTCAATTTATTTGTTCATTTGTTTTTAAGCGCAAACTAAACAATGGGCTATTTGCACTGCGCCCACCGCAAATATCACATTCATATTTTAGCGTTATAAACCTTCAAGCGAACCGCCAAGCCACTGGCGGGGGGGGGGGGTATTTTAATAAAAATGGGTTTATATTAGGCTTATAATGTTTTTATTCAAATACTTTATAATTGTGTTGAATTATTTATCATCCGCTTTAAAAAGAAGGACTCTTAAAGATTTTGATTTGCCAAAAGCTGTATAACAGAACCTCACATATTACAAATATATTAGTGTATGTTACAAACAATTTAAAGTGTGTAAATAAATCCGTTGAATATTTGCACGAATTTCTTCCTTACCTTTTCAAATATTTCCCTTCCCCTGTTTGACCTTTACTGGGCACTGTGATCGTGAAATGTATTAACCTTTCCAACTTCCGGGTACGTGATAATGAAATGTATTAACCTTCCCACTTCCGGGTACATGTTTTGAACACTTGAAATCGTTAGGCAATTTTACTTAACAGAAAGAAACGAAATCAAGGGCAAATGACTATACTGTATAAACAGTCTGTTTATATCCTCTACTTACTATTACAGGCGGAACAATTGCCCAAGGTGCAATCGAACATCATACAAGTTTTATACAATGTTAATAATGATAAACTAAAATGGTAAAATAAGGGTTGGAAGAGATAACAAAATAATAATAACTTAGCAAATTATTTATTTCTAGGTTTGATATGATGTATTGGGCAAGCTTTCAGTTCGTTTCTTGGAACTGTCTTCATAATAAGAACTAGTTTAAAAAAAAATTACTGCAGTGAATACGCGAGAAGAACATGGTTACAAAATGATATATCAAAGTTGAGTGAGCAATTCATTGAATAATTATTGATTCAAAAACACGATAACGACAAGTTTTGCAGCAGGAAAGTTCTAAATTTAATAATTACAACGTTTCGATCCATAGTATCGAGTCATCATAAGGTAAGAGTTATATTCATAAAGGTAGTTTTTTAAAGTAATTTTTTTAACTGATGATGAACCGATACTATGGGTCGAAACGTTGTAATTATTAGACTTAGAACTTGCCTGCTGTAGAAGCTGCTGTTAAAATAATACATCGTATCTCATTACAACAATAGTGAAACACAGTATAATATGCGTATATGCATATACACAGAACTGCAACAATTAGGGTATATATATAATTTTCCACAACAATATTGTATAGTTGCAGAGATTATTCGGGTTTGAAGAGTTAAAGACTTGCCAATACCCACTGAAGGTGAAGAAAAAAATCTGACTGCTATTATTATCATTAGTTAATTTACATTATGAATTTAAAAGATAAAATATACTAGTTTTGTGTTAGGACTTTAGGAAAGGTCCCAGTGACGCTACGAATTTAAATACAGGGACTAGTCCTTAACGCTCTTCGTAGGCTCAACAGTCGGGGAGACGTGTAAAACCCTTCAGTTTTTTAGGTACACTTTATGCCCCCCTTTTTTTTCAAAATTCACGTACCTGTGTCGATATTTGTATTAATATATATATATTATGATAATAAAACTTAAAATGTAAGTGTTTTATTGAGGACCGAATTTCCTATAAAAAAAGATCAAAACTTCATAAAAATCTGTCTCCTCAGTTTGGTTTGGAATTTCGCGCAAAGCTA